GGGGCTCTGCTTTTTTTTTTTTTTTTTTTAAATAGAAAAACTGTCTTCTCCTCATTCACAGGGGCTCAGCTTGCATGAGGAGAAGGGAAATGGCTGGCTGCAGCATGGCAAAACTAAACACATTTCAGCAGTCATGACGATTCATTTCATTTGGAGCGCACCAGAAATCTGGGCTGGTAAAAAAAGGATCAGAGGGACTAGGGTGGTTTAAACTTTAAAGTTTTAAACTTTAAAGTTTAAACCTGAAATACCTTTCTCAGCTATCCATGCGGGGAGCCTAAGACTTCCCTGCGTGACCAAAAAAGACGAATCGGCACGGGCCTCATTTTGGCTGGCGACACCAGCCATTTTCTTGTGGTAGTCCCGAGCCTGCCCGCCTCCCGTGTTAACCGGAGGGCATTTGTTTTTCAAGCAGGGAAAGGTACCGGTGATTTAAGACAAAAAAGGAAAGAGGCAAACGAGAAAGGGGCGTTCTGACTCATCCGCAAGAAGGCCATACATTCTACGCAGTGCAAAGCCAAGGCGCAAAAAAAAGAAAAAAAGAAAAAAAGGAAAAGAAAAGAAAAGAAAAAAAGGTACGTCACCTAGGATACAATTGTTTCCCTTTCGCCAAGAAGAAATACACTACACAAATAAACACAATTCTGGAGTCTTTTTCTGCTGCCTCTCGAAATACCGCCTCCCCCCCCCCAACTCTGTGCCTCACCCTGCCCCAGGGTTGAATGTTCAATTCAATTTCAAAAGCCATCAAACACTCCAAACATAGCCTATTCCTATTTCTGCGCCTGGCTCTGCTTCCGTAACACTCTTGTTATTTGTTTCTTGACAGATGGCGTGTGCTCGTCGAGCTTGCTGTCGGCTCCCTCGACTCGATCGCAGGTAGATATACAAAACTGCTGCCCTCATTGCTGTCGACATTTTTTTTCTTTTTATTTTTGTTACATCTGCTGTGCGTGCGTGCAAGCGGTGCCGGTGCAGGCACTTACTGCTTTTTTTTTTTTTTTTTTTTTTTTTTTTTTTTTTTTTTTTTTTTTTTTTTTTTTTTTTTTTTTTTTGTTCAGGCACTTACTGCTGTCTACATTGTGAATGGCTCTTCCTATCAAATGACATGGACTTCTTGCAAAGCTTGAGATTGCTGGGGACCACCAAGGACTACTTCAGATTACATGGGACTACATACAACCTTTTGGGACTACTTGGGACCGCAGGATACCACTTGGGACTACAGGGGACTTCTTCAGAGAAATCCAGTTGCACAACAAGGTCACCTCTCTTCTCTCCTGTCCTTTCCCATCCTTCTGTTACCCCTCTCTCTCTGGAAGGGCGCATCACTTGTGGTCCCCACCCCACTGACTCCCCAGCAATTCTATCCGCGTTAAACCACCAGTAACTTTCCCATATGTCGGCAGCGGGCACTGCGCGCCGGCCCGAAAATCAAGACTGGCCGCCGATTCGATTTATGGGCGGCCGCCCTTCCGATTCAGGCCAGTGTGTTACCTCGCGCGCCTCTGAAAAAATAGCTGGGAAAGGTACTGGTGGTTTGACAGATAATAACGTCCGAAGCAATCGTGTATCCCTTCCTCACTGATTTCCTCGACTCACTGGGGCGGATGCTAAATTGCCAAACCCATTCATTTTGCACCTGAACAAACTGAACCGGTGCCCGCCAGATCGGTACGTCAGAAGCGCACACCGAATGAATCAAACCGGTTCCCACCAGGTCGGTACATCAAAAGCATTGCCAAGCCCATCCATTTTGCACCCGAACGAACCGAACAGGAGCCCACCAGGTCGGTACATCAGAAGCGCACACCGAATGAATCAAACCGGTTCCCACCACGTCGGTACATCAACAGCATTGCCAAACCCATTCATTTTGCACCCGGACGAACCGAACAGGAGCCCGCCATATCGCTATGTCAAAAGCGCACACCAAATGAATCAAACCGGTTCCCACCAGGTCGGTACATCAAAAGCATTGCCAAACCCGTCCATTTTGCACCCGAACGAACCGAACAGGAGCCCGCTAGGTCGGTAC